TATACTAATGATAAGCTGTTATAAATGAATTTTATTGGTGACAAATATTACAATTAATCATTGTTTAAATTGTAAAATAAAACATACTAAATTCATTAATACATATAACAAACATACTTCGTACTGAAAACCTTTTCAAGCCATCTACATCTTTTAAACGAACATTACGTTACTCAGCTTTCAATTATTATTTCAAAATTTCATCTACATTTGTAAAAATCTACCAACAGTATGGATTTAAAATGAATTTAATTTTTATTTAAAGTGAACTTTAAATAATCTGACATCGTATTTTAATTGAATGAATTTAATTTTTAAATTGAGTTACATTTATAATAATTATTGAATTTAATTCTTATTGGTTACACGTACCATTACTTAATATTACAAACAGTGGTAAGGTTTAATGTGAAAAAATGATATCAATGAACGACCTGATCGACCAGTGGTTGAACAAACAATGGTCGACTTGATTTAAGGGTCGACGAAGCAAGTGAGATTTATTTTTATTGGGTAAATCAAAAGTCACCTTAACTGATAATTGTATTTATGATGATTATTAAGAAGTATTATACTAATGATAAGCAACAGTCAGTTAAATATTTGCAGCTTTTAGTTATAAATGAATTTTATTGGTGACAAATATTACAATTAATCATTGTTTTAATTGTAAAATAAAACATACTAAATTCATTAATACATATAACAAACATACTTCGTACTGAAAACCTTTTCAAGCCATCTACATCTTTTAAACGAACATTACGTTACTCAGCTTTCAATTATTGTTTCAAAATTTCATCTACATTCGCTAAAATCTACCAACATATATATACAACAACATAATTTGGTTTATGATCGACCAAATTTACAGTCTGGAAGAGTCTTGAGCCACGTCTTGGCAAACTTCACTTGGTTGTGCAAAACGTGTTTGGAGTTCAAATAAAGTATATGTTTGAGTTATTTGTTAAATTGTCTCGTAATCTAGTTATTGTTTTCGGAAATTGTATGAAAGTGAATTAAATATTTAATCATTAATTTTCTGAATTTTTATGCATCAAAAGGTGCTTAGTCAAATCTTCCCTAAAACACCAGACACATACTTTTATGATTATACATAGATGAAGTATATGATGCAGTCGTTTCTTCTATAACTGAGCTGAATGAGAATAATCAGGACCGGTCTGTTGTGCCTGAGTTTTGGAACTATAGAAGGGAGAAAAGAAACATTCAATGGTTTTCATTTCGTTTCACTAATGTAGCTTTCCTACCTTCTTTATAGTTCCAAAACGCAGGCACAACAGACCCACAGGTCCGGATTATTCTCATTCAGCTGAGTTATAGAAGAAACGACTGCATCATATACTTCATCTATGTATAATCATAAAAGTATGTGTCTGGTGTTTTAGGGAAGATTTGACTAAGCACCTTTTGATGCATAAAAATTCAGAAAATTAATGATTAAATAAAAAATTCACTTTCATACAATTTCCGAAAACAATAACTAGATTACGAGACAATTTAACAAATAACTCAAACATATACTTTATTTGAACTCCAAACACGTTTTGCACAACCAAGTGAAGTTTGCCAAGACGTGGCTCAAGACTCTTCCAGACTGTAAATTTGGTCGATCATAAACCAAATTATGTTGTTGTATATATATGTTGGTAGATTTTAGCGAATGTAGATGAAATTTTGAAACAATAATTGAAAGCTGAGTTACGTAATGTTCGTTTAAAAGATGTAGATGGCTTAAGTAAATGTTTTCCGTACGAAGTATGTTTGTTAAACAGGTTTTCCGTACGTCATTAGCAGACATATTTCCAAGGGGACGAACCAAAGGCGGCGGATATATAGTCCATTACAAATCCCATATGTTCTTCTTGTAGGCTTAAAAATGCATGAGTCCCATTAGCACATGTATTTGGAACATTATAATAAATTTGTATAATCCAATACAAATCCTACAAACCATGTGTTCCTTAGATTGAGCATAGATTAGTGGACAATGAGTTGCTCGACCAGATTGAGTGTAGATAAGGCCATGGATCATTTCCCGTCCCAATAGAAGAATTATAAAGCCAGTTGATCACCATTGAGATAATGGTAATCAGCTTGCTTTATTATTGTTCTGGGGCGGAGAATTGATACATGGAACCTCACACAATCGATCTAGCCGACCAATTCGTGGTCGGCTATATTTCAAACATCATATTACTTTTTTCTAGGGAGCATATGGGTTGTAGGATTCAAGGAAACAAATCTAAAATGTACAGATAGACCACAATTTACATGTATTTATCATGTTAAAAAGTAGTAAATTTTGCACACAAGAACCTCAACCTGAATTTACAAAGTTTGAAATATACCTGTATTTAATTTATGAAATATGGGACTGGTAATGGACTAATATTTTTTGCTATACTCAATGGAGGAACATTTGATTTGTACTCCATGCTACTCTAAACATTAACTTAAACTAGGCCATCACTGAGTGCGTATATATATATAAGTGAAGAGGTGATTTTGGGCAAATTGGGCTTTAACTAAGGTGGTTGAGGTATAAGTGACCGTTGGGCTTTAAAGAAGGTGGTTGAGGTGACCTTTGAACTCACCAATAAAATTAACTTCTGTGGTTGGTTGAGGGGGAGGCTACCTTTGACTTAATCGATAAAAATTAAATTCATTTGATAAAAATTAAATTCATACGAATAACTTTTCCAAATCATCCACTTTTTTTAACACACTAAATTATAAAACTTTAATTAATTAACATAAAATAGCAAACTTTAAGTTAATTAAATTAAATAACAAACACCCACAGTCGTTTCTTATCGACATAATGTTAAAACATAAAAACGTGAAAATAAATCTAGGTCTCTCCATCTGAGAAAATAGACATATAAAGAATAAAGAACCTCTCTAGTTAATTAAGAACACAGTTCGAACACAATTTAATAATATTTAAGGAACCATTATTTAACATTTTAAAAAATATTAATATTGAAAAATATAGTTTTTAGATAAGTTTGTACACTAGATATACAAGGAATATATAGTCCAAAGGTATATTCTAGATATATATATATATGGTATACGAAGTATTAATAATTAGGAAATGTATTTTAGATATACAGGGAAACCCTAATTATGTACAAGGAAACACCCTAATTATGTTTTAGAAAACACCCACACTCAACCTTTTTATGTTTTTACGTTTTACATGCATTTGTTAAATATCGACCAAATCATAGTCGACCTACATATGGTCGATCTAAATGATTGACTCATCTATGTAGCCGAACAAATGAACTATCAATAAACATTTAGCATATAAATGATGCCATCTCAAGACACACACAAACACACACATATATATAGTACACTAGATATACAAGGAATATATATTCCAAAGGTATATTCTAGATATATACCGATACCATATATTCTAGATATATACCATAATTTCTAGTCTATATATATATATATATATATATATATATATATATGGTATACGAAGTATTAATAATTAGGAAATGTATTTTAGATATACAAGGAAACCCTAATTATGTACAAGGAAACACCCTAATTATGTTTTAGAAAACACCCACACTCAACCTTTTTATGTTTTTACGTTTTACATGCATTTGTTAAATATCGACCAAATCATAGTCGACCTACATATGGTCGATCTAAATGATTGACTCATCTATGTAGCCGAACAAATGAACTATCAATAAACATTTAGCATATAAACCATATGCTAGATATACAAGGAATATATAGTCCAAAGGTATATTCTAGATATATACCGATACCATATATTCTGGATATATACCATATATTCTAGATTCTAGATATATACCATATACGAACGAAGTATTAAGAATTAGGAAATGCATGTATTTTAGATATACAAGGAAACCCTAATTATGTACAAGGAAACACTTAGCATATAAATGATTGCATTCAATATTTACCAAACAAATAAAATAACAAAAATTACATAGACAGTTTACACATTGATGTCTCCTTAAATTCCTGACATATATCAAATGCCAATCTAAGTCTAATTTTTTTGGTCTTCTGGTGATTAATATTTTCGAGTTCTTTGAAATCTTTCCCAAAAAGGTCCAACTCTAGAAACTTTAAGGCAAACACTCCACAGTCATCCTCTTTCTGTTGCGGTACAATAGGGCGTTTTACTTCCCACATTGACTTGTTTTCATATGTGTGTGTACCCAACTTGGCAAAGGATGCTATTACAGGGAATACCATTCTTAATGGCTTCATAGCTGCTTCAAAAGTTTCATCACTCATCAATCCCCTGAGAGAGTCAAATGTTACAAGCTCTCCCACCTCAAAGTCTGCTTTTACACAAACCCAATGATTCCCTCCAAGATTGTGAGGGAAATAAGCATATTTAACATTTTCCCAGGGAATCATGTGTATTGATGTGGTTGTCCCTAGAATAGTTTTCTCTATACTTTTTTCTAGTGTCGGGTAAATTTCTTCATTTCCATTGCGCTGAGCCATTTTACCAAAATAAGCTGTAGGTACAACAGCATGGGAGATCTCTTTCTCAATAAGACGTTTTCTCAGATGCACTAGAAACTCATCAAGATGCTGAATAATTTAAATGTGGTTTAGTAAACATATATGTGAAAAATGTAATTTCAGCGAATAAAATAACTTCATTTGGTTACCTCGATCGCAAGCCAACCACCAGGACGCAACAACACAGTCCAAAAATTCTTTGACACTCCATCTGATTCTTTATATTTATGGAAAAGACACTGAACTTCCCTGTCCTCTTCTATGGCTTGTTGAATCCAGCTAGAAAATCTCTCCAAAACCTTCGCATCAGGTTCTTCAAGCTTCAAAGATGCATCGTCAACTTTTACCTTAAACTGCCTTGGCTTTGTTTTCTTTCTTTTTGCTCTTCCCATTACCTACAAACATCTATAACCATTTCAAAAAACTTGGTCGAACATAAGGTCGATCTTTCGTACTCATCAAACCGAGTTACCTCTCCACTCTCTCCTACCAACTGATCATGAACCTTCTCATCAACCTTGAAATTATATGTAAAATTGGTAAACAATGATTATAAAGAAAACAAAAACTTACATTGTATATACATATTAAAGCTTCCTTTAATATCAGTGAAATAGTTCATACATTTAATGTTTCTTGAAACTCTTTACATATAGAATAAGCCATGAGTAGTCTAACTTGCTTCATGCGGCTTTCAGTCATATTTTCAAGTTCTTTAAAATCTTTACCAACCATGTCCAACTCTATGAACTTCATTGTAAACACACCGCAGTCACTCGTGGTTTGTTGGGGTACGGTAGGCCGCTTTACATTCCAAAGAGGCATTATTTCTGGGTCATAGACAATACCATTAAGGATGCAAGCAACATTTCCAAACCATTTTCTGTGCGGCTCTAAACTGCGTACTATTTCATCATCACTTCTGAAGCATCGCAGAGAGTCAAACACAACAAGCTCATTGTTTTCGAAATCTGCTCGCACTGCCATCCAATGAGTTTCAGCAATGTTGTGTGGAAAATAGAGACGCTTCACGCCTGTCCAAGATTTGATATAAGAAGTGCTCGAAGTCCCCTCCATCATTTTATTCAAATCATCCAGCAATCCAGGAAAGAGCTCTTGCTTTGGATCCATATTGGTATCAATAAAGGAAGAAAAGAATTCCGTCGTGACAACAACATCTGAGAGACTTTCATCAAGAACACGTTTCCTCAGGTAGGAAAGATACTCGTCAAAGTGCTGAAAGATTTACATGTGATGAAGTAAACGTTTTGTATAAAAAGAAATACTCATCAATATAAATAATGTGGTTACCTACTTACCTGAGACTCAAGCCAACCACCTACGTCCAACATCATGGACCAGAATTTCTTTTCCATTCCAGAACTTTCAGAATACTTGTCCTCGAAGCACTGAACATCCCTGCCATCATTCTTGGCTTTTTTTATAAAAGTATGAAATTTCTTCAGTATCGTCTCACTGGGATGACTCCTTTTCTTCCCCTTGTAGGGCACATAAGGAGATTTGGTAAATTTTCCCCTTCCTTTTGTTCTTCGCCCCCTTCCCAACAATGCCTACAAACAATCATAAAGAATATATCATAAAACAATTCAACTACTTGAGAAAACAATTTTGAATTTTACCTGTTTCTCTTCATCATTAAGTTCAACAATTCTAACATCATCAGCATCACTAACATCTTCTTTGCGAACCAAACCCTTGGCAAAAGCATCGCAAACATAATCAATAATACGAAATGGTTGCTCAACCTTATCATCACCCTATCAATTATTAAGTGTAATATATATGTCAAAGTTTAATATTTTAAAAAATAAATGTAGTCGATATTATAATATTAAAAAGTTTTGTGGTTTACCTCTTTCGTTTTATTATCAAGTTCAGCAGTATCACCAACATTCAATCCTGGATCAACCTTCTCATCACCCTTCAATTATAATTATAATATATATGTTAATGCTTAACCTTTTGGTAAGAAATAAGTAGTCGATCTTCTGTATTCGACCTTATTTTGGTCGATCATTTATAAGTTACCTTTTCACTCTCCTCAGCTAACTGATCATGAACCGTCTCATTAGAGACATCAGCAATATGCAATCCTGGGTCAACCGTCTGATCACCCTTGCCATTATCAGTATAATATATATTAATGCTTAATCTATAAAGAAGACATAGGTCGGTAGTAGATGTTTATTATTTAAGTATGTAGTTACCTCTCCACTTTCTTCTGTTGTTTGCAATGGACATAAGTTTATTGTCTGCAATGAACAAACAACTTCTTCCACATCACCCTGCGGAAAGAAATTGGAATATATACATTCTAGGCCATCACCCTTGCAATGGAAAAAAAAAACAGTTGAAAAAGGTTTGTATACAAAAATATTTTTTATTAAACTACTGAACCTTAGTAATAGAGTCTTGAGCATCTTCCAACTCATTTTCTTCTTCATTTTCCTAGAATAAAAATAGTAAAGTATAAATAAAATATACATCAAGTCGACCACTTATTTTTTACATAGATTCAAAGTCTATCAAATATTAGTCGATCGAACCTCTGTAGTAGATGTTTATTATCTAAGTCGATGTTTATATAATACATCACGTCGACCACTTATTTTTTACATAGATTCAAAGTCGATCCAATATTAGTCGATCGAATTTTCTTATACACAAACAGTTTCGTTTAAGCAAATATTTTTTTTATTAAAATATACCTCTTTTTCTTTTTCTATTTCCTCACACTGATACTGATGAACCTCTGTAATCAATTTATCATTTTCCTATATGAAAAATAGTAACGTAAGTATTCATGATCATAATTTGGTCGATTACTAACTTAAGTAGTCGATCATAATTTGGTCGATTACTTATAGGTTACCTCTGATTCCCCTAAGCCAATAGAGTCATCAACAATGGGAAGTCCTGGTTCAACCGTCTGATCAACCTTGTCATTATATGTATAATATGTATTAATGCTTAATCTTTAAAGAAGACAAAGGTAGTAGATGTTTTCGGTCGGCCCTCTTTTGGTCGATTGTTTATTATCTATTTAGTTACCTCTCCAATCTCTTCACTTGTCTGCAATGTACATACATTTTCGACTTCATGACCCTGCGGAAAACAATTGGTATATACACATTCAAAGCCATCACCCTTGCAATTGAAAAAACAGTTGAAAAACGCTTTGTAAACTCAAATATTTTTTTATTAAACTACTGAACCTTAGCCATAGAGTCTTGAGCATCTTCCGACTCTTTTTCTTCTTCATTTTCCTAGAAGAAAAATAGTAATGTATTATTAAAATGCACATCAAGTCGACCACTTATTTTTTACATAGATTCAAAGTCGATCCAATATTAGTCGATCGAATCTTCTTATTCAAAGCCATCACCCATGCAATTGAAAAAACAGTTGAAAAAAACTTTGTAAACACAAATATTTTTTATTAAACTACTAAACCTTAGCCATAGAGTCTTGGGCATCTTCCGACTCTTTTTCTTCTTCATTTTCCTAGAAGAAAAATAGTAAATTATGAATAAAATATACATCAAGTCGACCACTTATTTTTTACATAGATTCAAAGTCGATCCAATATTAGTGGATCGAATCTTCTTATAAACAAACAGTTTGGTTTAAGCAAATACTTTTGATTAAAATATACGTTTTTTTCTTGTTCTATCTCTTCAACCTGATACTGTTCATTCATCTTTTCATTTCCTTGAGCTTCTTCTTCTTCTTTTTCCTAGATGAAAAGTAGTAAAGTAAGTATTCATGATCTTACATCTTTGTTAACATCTATACGAATTACCAATATTAACGTAAATTCTAGAATCAAGAACATGTTAAATATACAGCAAAGTCGACCACTTTTTTATTACATATTTACAGGTCGACCAAATATTAGTCGGCGGAATATTTTATACACAAATGTTTGGAATTAAACGATGTACCTTCTTCTCTTGGTCGAACTTATCAGCTTGAGCCTCTTTGTCTAAACCCTTTTCATCTTCTTGCTCCATTTTCTTTTCAGAATCGTCACTCTCTTCATTTTTCTAGATGGAAAATAAGTAAAGTAAGTATTCATGACCGTTCACAAAACAAAACAATTCTACCAGTTTTAAAAATATTACAAGTCCATTAACAGCTTTAATGCATACGCAATTACCTCCTTTTTATGCTCAGCCCCCTCAACACTTTTCTCCTCTCCTCTAGCAGTGGACTATATAAGGAAAAAATTATAACTAATTATTGAAGCTCAAGTTTTAAAGGTTTATCTTGCTATAGAATTAAGACAAACCTTAACAAGTAACTCTTCAAGTTTCTTGTGCCTCTCTTCTGACCGTTTCTCCAACTCCAGAAACTTTTTGTCATAATGCTCTTTGAAAGAATTGAGCCTTTTTTCTGAAAGATCCTCCAGTTCTTTAAACTTTTGTTCAATATACATTTTTATTGAATCTTCATTGGAAGGAGGCTTAGGAGAAGCAGCAGGGGTTTTGGGGGAGTGTTTCTTTTTCTTTCTTTGTTCCTCTACATGGGCAATAGGTTGAGGAGAGGCAATAGGGGTTTGAGGAGGAGAGTGTCTGTTTTTCTTCTTTCTTTTTTCCTCCACTACACCTTCTTCTTTCTTCATGCTCAGCAACTTCATCTTTTTAGGAGGCTTCTTCTCCTCTTTAGGACTCTTGACCTCACATGATTTTCTTTTCAAAGAGACTGGAAAAAGAACCAATTTTCTCTCTAATGATTTCACAAATCCATCCAGCTCAACATGTGGGTGACTGTCTTGTACAGGATCCAAACTTCTGACCCAATCAGTAGTTTTCTCCAAATCATCAGGTAGTAGAATACTCTGCACCCTCTGTAACAAACATTTAGTTCTTCACTTTTAGTTGTATAAACAAAACAACGTATTATCGACCGTGTAGTAGTCAATCACGTTTATTTGTTCGACCACAATCTGGTCGAACAAAGGTTATAAGTGTGAAAATGTTCTTACCTTTATTGATTCTTCAGCCACTTGAACCTGTTCAGTGCTGATCCTTTTTGTCGTATTTGGACGATAGAGACGTAACCTCGGCAAAGTAGGCACGCAATTAGGGAGTCTCATTGCAAACTTCTCGGCAAAATCAGGGGCGCATTCAAAAAGCAATATCTATTAAAACAAAATTTGAAAAAGTCAAGAAATGCTAGACAAATTGTTATTACAGTATGCAAAATAGAATCTGCAAATGATATTAACAAAGGTCCTTACCGAAATTGGGATTAAGAATCCAGGGAAATTCATTGTTGCTGACTTATTTTTAGCAATTATTTCATCTAGTTTTTTCTCCAAGTCCATATGTTTCAATGCATCTAATGAGCCCTTATACGCCCACGTACCCCATGGGAACTCGTTTTCTTCTTTTCCCCCTATTTTCCCAATTATCCATTCAGGAATGGGAGCTTTTCTCTTAGAAGGAGCTAGAAGGACCATCACTACAAACATGAGTATTGCTACTCTGATCACTTCTACTTCAGCATCCTTTTTCAGTTCGTCCTCAGCTTCAGGGTCCTTCAAAGTTGTGCACAATTGTACAAATCTAGCTACAACTGTTTCATAGCTAACAACTCCCTCAAAATCTTGATCAAAATTCTTCTCAATGAATCTGGCCTTTGAATCATTATCAAAATCATCTTCATAATTGCTAGCAAGGGCGCTGCAGGTAAGCCCGCTGATTAGAGAAAATTCTGTGAGAGAGTAGCGTACTGGAACTCCCTTCACGACAAACCATGCCTCCGATTCAATATCAATTTTGGCTAATCTAGACACGATTGACCACAAATGTAATGGAACAGGGATGAACTCAACATCAATGTATTTCCCAAATACACTCGACCTAAATGCACCAATGAGATTGGGAAACTCACCAAGATTGTCGAAAATTAATTCTATAAATTCATCCAATTTTTGCCTTACTGTGAGCTTCATGCTCGGGAACAACGAGCAGTCCACCACAGGAGGCAAGGAAGGAACCTGCATATAAAAAAAAATTACAGATGTTCGACTAATATACGGTCGAACCAACGGTTTACAACTCCGTTTCGACTGAGATTGGTAAAAAAATGTATGTTTAGTTCGACCAAATGATTTTACAGAAATTCACTCCGGATTAACCACCAATGATACTTGTATAATTGGTAGGTATGTTTACTTAGAAAAAATAGTGAGAAACATGTCATGCGTTTTCAAAATAATCAAACATGATTTGGGTCGACTGAGTTGAGTTCGGATTCGAATGAACATCTATAGCTTTCATTTGAGAAATTACCACGTCTAGCTTTCTAAAGAACCAAGTATCGCTCTCAAGCAATCATAAATAATCTAACATTTACCTGAATATTGAGTTCATCTTTGGCTTCCATCACTTCAGATGCTTTCACAAGTCGCCGTCTTGCTTGGCTTTTCCCAAGAGGAACCGTAGGACTTTTGCACTTCATGATGATGGAAGGAGATGTAAGAATGCTCCTCGTCGAAGTCGAAATCGAGGAATGCTTGTGCTGGAAATCGAAAATGCTTCTGCCCTAACCCGGAGCTCGACCGAAATCGATTTCGACTGATAGTGAATGATGAAGTGTGTGGGAAGGGGAAGCTGGGATTACGGAAGTTGGATTGTGGAAGCTGGTGGGACCAACAAGCCGTTTCCCGTTTTTCGAAATCGGGATAGACAGTCGTTTTTAAGTTCATGATGTCGTTTTATTAAGGGTCCTTATGTAATTACACCATTTCCTAATAATGTAATAGAAGGCCGGGTAGATTCAAAATACTCAACCTTTTTCGGCCCTCGATAAAAATTCCCAAATCCACTATTCTTCTTCGCCACTCATTTCTGTGGAATTTTGCCTTGAGAAAATATGCCGCTTTTCACTGGATTTTTGGCTGGAGGACATTCTCGTCTCTCGCAACTCTCTGCTGCTGAATTGCTTCCTGCTCCTCCTTTTCCCTCCCGACCCATTCGTCTTCTTCCTCTGAAGCACATTCGTCGCGATTCTCGCTTTTCATCTTTCGGGAAAACTTTTCTTCTCGTCCCTAAAGTCTCTGTCTCATGTGGGAGTGGCTCTATCGCAGATGGGGTTGATCAGCACCTTTCGGGTGAAATCAGGTCAACTAAGGTTAGTTTACAATATCTCTTGTTTACTATTCCTTCTTATCACAATAAAATCACTTCGTATATATTTAGGAATAACATAGGATTTTGTTGCATGCAAGTAAATACAGTTACTACTTGTCTAAAGAATTTGCTAATTAAGAAATATAGTTCTGGTAAAAGAAACTGCAGAAAATAGGATTAAAACATGGTTCATATAAGTATTCTTGTTTTGTGGTAAAAGTATAACTCATTTTCCTTAAAAGAATAAAAGTAATTGATAATTCCTCTTTTAGGAGTTAATAAGTTAGTCCCATTCGCTGGAAAAAGTGGTGACGGTCCTATGTAAAGAAAGATGTTATATTTATATCTTATTTGCAGCATTCCCCCGTAAAAAATGGGGCATTATAGTAAAAGTTACCAGTTTTTTTAGAAATGTTTATTTATCATGTAGTAATTTCCAGTGTTCACGGGATGAGGTGGTAATAGTTGGCTAGTTGCTAGTGTTTAAAATGCCTGTATGTGCTCTAGTTTTTTTCATTCGTCACAAATTTCCGAACAATGAATTAACTCATTGTTTGGGACAAAATAGGAAAATATGATGGTGTAGCATAAATATAGTGCACCATATCCCTTTGTATTTGATATTTCAATTTTTGAGTCATCTAATACTATGGCATCACAAAGAAGTAGAGGTCTGCTGACTGGAAGGCAGCAAACGTTTACTTTGAAAGAGGGGTGATATATGAAGGCAAGGTGGTGGGATTCAATAATTCTGGTTTACGCATTCGGTTCTATTCGCTTGTGGGATTTCTTCCTTTTCGGCACTTGAGTCCTTCACATCAGTGTAAAGGTATAAAAGCTACATACTTACCAATTACCATGTTCCATCATTAAGTAACTTAATAATTCCAAGATTCTATTTACCTCTTAACATATAAACTTGCTTCTACTAAAGATATTGTTTCTCATGATGTCTAGAAAATGGGATGAACCCTCCCACCTCTCTTACCCCCGCAATGGGGATGTGTGGCTCAAAACTTTCTTGAGTGTGTGATATAGGAAATTTTTTCAAATGGAATATTTTAACTGCACTTTTCATTCTTATTTTAGTTTCTTACTAGGTTTAATTTCATGTCTTTTATGACCCAAAGATTTCTTTCCATTGCATATCAACCAAATAACTGAATATGACTTTATATGATGGCTCTACATTGGATATGCAAGGCCAGATGATGGTTTCTCTGATAATGTTTCCTCTTATGTAATGATTAAGGAATGCTTGTGCTAGTCGTACAAGAATGCCATTAAATGTAGGGGTTAAAATTTCATGTCTGCTTGTGCCTTTACGTACCTGGTTTTGTCATAGCGTCATCCTAAACTTTGTAGTTTCTGTTTTTGAATATTTTAAGTGGTGTGATTATCTACTATTTTGCAAAATGCTTCCATAACTTTCAACATTTTATTCTTGCTCTATTTAGGGGCGGAGCCAGACTTCACTACAAGGGGGGCGAAATATAATACGGAGTACAAGTATTAAAATGTAAAGGGAAATTTGCAATTTCGGTCCCATAAATTTACTCTGCCCGTTTTTAGTTCTGATAATTCACTCGCTCGGAGTATTTTTTTACGATTTAAGTATTTCCCCACTGTAAAGTACACTTACCTACAAATAATTCACCGCAAAATATGCCGCAAATGTTGATTTTTTTTTTTGCCAAAAATGTACTTTTAAGTGGAAATTTCCTTAAACTACAAAGAGCACATAATTCACATGCGACTAAAGTTACTGGACTAATAATGGAGACAACCAAAAGATACATGACTAAAATTGCAAATCTCCCAAATATGAATTTTAAAAAAGTATAAATTTATGGCTTGTCAAATTGCCTTCATAATTTTGTTTGGGGGGGGGGGGGGGGGCTAAATAATTTCTAATGGTAGTATTTAAAAAAAAATAAAAAGGTGGGAGGGGCCATGGCCCCCTTGACCTACTAAGTCCCTCCGCCCATGGCTCTATTGCTTGGTAATTAATGTTATGTATTTGCTAAGCTGGTTAATGATTGTAAACAATTTCTTTGTATTTTAGATCCAAACAAAACCATTCAAGAGATTGCAAAAGGTTTGGTTGGTTCCATCCTCTCTGTGAAGGTTTGTGATTCTTCCATTTCAAACTTACCACTGAATTATTATATTGGCTAGAGAAGTTCAATATTGTCATCTTGTATGCAATTTAGTTCCATCTTTTATGAGTAATACTGAAGTATGAAACATATAATCACTGCAAGAAACAATAGTTGTTAATAGTTGGACTTATCAATGAACACGCCTGTTAGATTTTCCCATTTCTAGATTAGTAGATTACCTTGTCAGTATATCAAAGACTCTTAATGTTCTATTCTTGTGAAAATGATTCCTGTAAGTTTCTCCCTTGGCATACAAGTTTTGTGCATTGCTTGCAGAGTTTTGAAAGTTGTATAATTTCTTTACACTGTAATATAACTATTAAACTCAACTAACCCCGAAAGTCCTGTCAGGCAATTGAAGTTAGTGAAGAGTTAGGAAGATTGATATTCTCTGAAAAGGAAGCAAATTGGGCAAAGTTCTCTAGTCAAATAAAAACTGGTGATATTTTTGAAGGAAGAGTTAGCTCTGTTGAGGATTTTGGTGCTTTTGTTGCCCTAAGATTTCCAGATGGTATGTATCTTGAGACATACTAACTAATGATGGATTTCATTTCCTCTGTGATATCATCTTTGTCTGTCATTTCACTGTTCAGGTTGTATTTCTGTGTTTAAAAAGGGTCCAAGTCCTGTCTGTTCTAGATAAGGGTGTCAACAGGGCACTAATGAAAGTGTGTGCATAGATTGTTTTTACTAGGAATTAATTCACAACCTTTTACTCACTAAAGAGGTTTCTCACTACCTAATAGCTATGTATTATAAACTGTGGTGCAGGGTATTGTCACCTTACTGGGTTTGTGCATGTTTCAGAAGTGTCATGGGATGTTGTGCGTGATGTTAGAGATGTTTTGACAAAGGGAAATGATGTGAGGGTCAAAATTATAAAGATAGATAGGTGACTTGCGATGCTGATTTAATTTATGCACATCTGAATTCTGATTCATTTTTTCCCTGACAATATAACTTTTTCCAGAGAAAAAGTAAGGATTTCACTCTCCATTAAACAATTAGAGGATGATCCGTTGCTAGAAACACTAGATAAAGTAATTCCCCAGGTAAGAGAGTCTGTAAAGTTTATCAAGTGGTTAGCTCAAGATGATTTTTTGTTTTCTTTTTCTCCAAAATGTTTTTCAACACATATTTATGTATTCTTGCTCTTGTTGATGATGGTGGATGTTAAACTCCACAGGGTTCTTCACAGCATCCTAGTACCTTGAATTCAAAGGGTAGCCTTATTATTGAACCTCTTCCTGGGCTTGAAACAATAATTGCAGAGCTTATGCAAGAAGATGGGTATGCACATAATATCACTTTCACCTTAATGTTATTCAATATTTACTTTTTGAGCTGTATGCAATGTCCTTGCAGTCCGATGAATATCAAGAATTTCAGACATTGATAAAGTATGAAAAAAACACATGCAAAAAGTTGGAAAAAACAATACAATGTTTAGCTGTTATAGTTTGTCTATCTTTAATCTACAGTTTGTTACATTGAGTATGAGTAAAAAGCTAAGTGTGATGACATTCCTTAAACACAATGCGCCTTGCATTTCTGCTTGAATAATAACTTATTTTACAGTAAAACATTTTTCCATATAATCATTTTCCACAATGACTTGTATTTTCTGCAAACAAACAGAGCATCAGTTTAATATGCCTCTTTTCCACAATGCCATTTTTCCATATAATCATTTTTCGGTTATG